GGGTCATGTGACTGGAGGTCTGGCTGCAGTTCCCCACCTCCTGACCTACGACCTTCACACTCATCCTAACCTCAGCTTCCTACGGAGGAGAGGAAACAGGGCGGCTGTCGCGAGCATTAGGGATGTGCACAGGGAGGTCACATCTGTGTCACTTGTGTTCGTGTTTGCTTCCTCTAAAATCTCCCCCTGTGTGTGAGGGTGTGAGAATAAACTGATCTGTGTTTCATATTTCTGTATTCACAGACTTGATCCGTGTGTGGTGTGTTGTGTGCGCGGTGTTGTGTGTGTGTGCTTGCTATGTGCTCTGTGTCAGTGAAGTGCAGAGTCAGTGTCCTGCAGGCCAGGAGAGGACAGGACGGGGTGGGCCAGTGCGGAACTTAAACTTTGCTGACTAATGGTTTTACTGCCGAGCGGCGCACAGAGAGCACACACACACACACACCGAGGCCCTCCGACTGCAGCCGCATTTCAACCAGGAGGGAACGAGAGCTGTGAAATGTGCAGCTTTATCTGGAGGTGCAAGAGACGTTTTGAGCTGCTTTGACTGAAACGTGATCGAGGCTTCAGTACAAATCAATCTGAAACCAGGCTGCTGCAAAAGAGAAACAACACAACCACAGTTACACCGGCTGTCCGAGAGCAAAGTGTAGGTGTGCGGATCACACGGCTGATTTCTGTTTACTCTCTTCATAAATGACTGATTACGCTGCAGTGAGTCCCACTTAGGCTGGTAGTTAAAGGCTAATCTGCAGGCTGAATGACTGTAGTTGAAGACGTTATACTGCGAACACGTGTGCTCCTCCGACATCGTATTTTCTTTCTCCTCCACCTATAAATCAGTCAATGAACGATTGACAATGCCAAATACTTCTGGCCTCCTGAGAGGAAAATGGAAAACTGGCCCCGTCTGAGCCAAAAGCCTCCACACGTTTGTCTGGATGTGGTTCTTGACAGACGTTGTGTCAGCTGTAGGTCTCTCTCTGCGCTGTCACAACCTGTTGGCTACGTATTCGCACACCTTCTCTTGTCGCACATTACTTCCGGTTTACGTACGATCGCGCGAGCTTTCCGTAAACCTAAATATGCTTCTGAAACAAAGACGCAGACTGAATTCAAAGAGAACCACAAGTCCCACGACACCACAGGATTGTCCAACAGTGTGACAAACGATGCTCCGCTGGACAATAGCCTTTGTTTACGCACAATCTTATCTGGTTTCCCCTCGAGCCTGTAATAAACTGCAGAGGGGTGAATCGTAGCTTGTGAAGTCTGACACCCCCCCGCCTGATTAAACTCTTATCTGAACTGCACGACGTCTCTTCTCTCAGTCTGACGGATACTGCTCGCACTTACTCAACATAAGTTAAACACTGCACACAGCTGAGGGATGATGGGAAACAAGTCTAAGTTCAGGGAAATGTAAACTCGACCGAGCTGACATACTGAAGCTAATAACAGATTAATATTGAGACTGTACACAGTTAGTCGTTTGTGTATTACTGCCACACTCACTGTGGAGACGGGAGATACCCACGTCGTCTACACACACACACACACACACACACACACACACACACACACACACACACACACACACACACCAGATTGTGATTAGACATTTTGGGCACATCGGCACTGGGACTTATATCTGAATGAAACACTGAGACATTCACTGTCCTTAGCTCTCCCAAAAGCGCACCAACAACAACAACAACAACAACTGTTTGTTTGTTTGTTTCTCTTCTGCTTTTGTTTTGCTGTGGGTACTTCTGTCTGGCTGAGAATCAGTTCTGAGTCATTTGAGGGGTTTTTTTTTGCCACGAGGTGAGTCTGAATAACAAACCGGTCAGGCTGAGTAATTCATGAAAAGGAAGTACTCTGAGTACTTTCCACAGACTCTTTGGATCCGACTCCAGCGAGCCGCATGTCTTCACACACTGACTACAATCTTAACGAGCTGCTGACTCACTGAAACACTGCTAGTAGAAGACAACCACAGCAAAACCTTTAAACCTTTGTGATAAGATTTCACAAGGTCTGCTCACAGGTCGTCAATAAGGGAGTTGGCTCTCGGCTTTCACTGATGAAGTAACACTTATATGACTGGAGGGGGGGGGTTCAAACCTATGACACAGGCATCAGAGGACAGGACAAGGTCAGCTTGTTGCCCGGCAACATCACATACAACTATTTCTATCACTGGGACAAAACGATCTGTCACCGGCGACTCTGCCAGGTGCTTTTGGTACCTGACGAAGGGTTCGGCTCAAAGTGAAACTCTTCTTTGTGAATGGGATACAGGCTGCGTTGGAAAGCACCTCCCTGTCCGTGGCAGAGTGGCTCTTCCACATAGTTATTGACACCAAACACCCGCATTCTCTCAGGATGGTGAAAGGAGGGAAAACTCTCTCTCTCTCACACACACTTGGCTCTGAAACTGCTGGGGGAGACATTGTGCAACAGCATACCGGTGCTGTGAGGCTACCTGGAAGAGTTTGGGACATGTAAAGACTTGAAAAGCAGGACATTTAAAGCCCAGGTGTTTATTATTATGACACGTTTCTTAACACACAGCAGCATTAATGTTGTATTATGTATATATGTATATCAGAGACACATGACGTATGTTAATTTAACTCACACATTAGTGAACAGCTGTAGCTCTCCTATAATCCGATTATAGTGTATTACATTGCTCGCATTGCTCAGTGTAAGCTCTTTAATGTGGTCTCGGAGGACCTGGTCTGAGGACCTGGTCTGGTTTTACCTGTTGAGGAAAGCGTTACCGAAGGCGTTGAGTTTGCGGAAAGGCTTCTTGGGGTCGACCACCAGAGCATTTCCCGGGATCACCCCGTCCTGTTCACCGTGCATCACCGCGATGAAAGAGTCAGTGGTCGGCTCGGGGCCAATCCGCATACCGGGGAAGTCCTGCTCCATGAGGTGCCGGATAAAGGTGGTCTTCCCGGTGGAGTACTGCCCCACCAGGAGGACCATGGGCTTGTTGTCGAAGTCGGCATCCTCGAGTGCAGGGGAGTGGAAGTCGTGGAACCGATACGTGTCCTCCAGCGGGAACAGTTTGGTCCGGTAGAGCCGCCGTAGCCCCTCCGACACATTCTGAAACAGCTCGGGGTCCTTCTTCAAGTTCTTCCTGAACATGGTCGCTGCCTATTTATTAATTAATTTTTATTTTTGCCCTTACTTGACACGACTGTGCCGGCCTCCCCTTTGAGTACTGGTGTGCTTTTAGTGGCGTGTGGATCCCTCACACCGTCCAGAGAGTAGCTAGCTGCCTGCGGGAGTGAAGCAACGACTGGGCGAGGTCTTCCAAGTTTTTGTCCCCACCCTCCTCTTCGCTAGTTAGCCACACACTGCGAGTCACTCATTCATGGGAGGACTCCCTCTTCGGCTGACGCTGGCTATATCAAACCAAAGATAGCCCACCACAAACACTTAACGCTGGCTGTAGGGAGTTAGATACCGTTTAATACTACACAACTTGTGCCGTTAAAGCCGCTACGACTCCTCTTAGCGACAGGCTAACTCGCTTAGCAACCGGCTGTCAGTTAGAGCACTACCAAAGAAGGCTAACCGGAAACGTTATAGATTTCACAATAAAAGCCTGCCAGCCAGTCCCATACTGTGTGTTTATGCTTCCAGCTCTTAAATGACACGGTTTATTAGCGTTGTCTTTGTTTGCAATATTCCTCATAGTAAAAGGGGACACAATTATGCATTTATTTTACACAGATTTTCAATTTTACAGGCTGGATTTAAACATTTTTCAGTTTTGGAGTTGCTGTTTTGAGCCTCAGACAAGTTTATAATCTGACTGAATTGTTATTTTGTTTTGTGGATATCGACAGAATTACACACACACACACATTACCTCTAATTATATCTGTAGAAATAATCATGTATCAGGCTCAGTTAGTCTTAACTCAAACAGCCTCCCACAAATGAAATGATTTCATGGTGACATAATGTGAGTATGAAGTTTATCTGGGATACTGTAGCCTGTGAACACTCAAATGAAAGCATTCATTCATGCCTGTGCAACTTCCAGTAACTTCTTACTATTACAATAAAAGCTTTCACATCCATACGTGGTTTCGGTTTTAATTTCAAAGGGCAATATCTGATTGCACACAGATATGGTCACAGTGGTATCTACACTTCACTTTTGTTTTTAACAGTACATAGTTATTATTGTGTATTTCATATTCTCAGTTTAGTTCTGTGCCTGAGAGATTTATCGTCTGGCTTTGATTTGTACTTTCGTTTTCGTTTTTGTCCTGCATGAGCAGAATAAAACACCTGAGTTAACCTGTTATGGCAGCAGCACAATTCATTCATGTTTAAACATCCTCTCCTCATTTTACTCTCAACACTGAAAATGAAAAGAATATTAATTGATATTAATATCATATTCATTAATATATATTATGTATTTAAGAATACAGTACCATATGTTTCACTCACTTTCCTTTTGTTTTCTCCTGCCACTGTATATAATGTAATTAGTGTCTTGTAAGCCTCTTGCATGACAGTTTTTAATTCATTCATTCACTCTGAACAATGAAACTGAAAAGATTATGTATTCCTTTATGTTTAATTAGTTAAATTCATATCTGATACAATACGTTATGAGTACAATGCCATACAGGGCTTATGTTTTGCTTGCCCTGTTTGTGTTTTTTGTCTTGTCTCTATATTTAATGTAGGTAGTATAGGTCATGATATACAAATACACTAATTCATTCATTAATATTAGTTTTTAAAAAGTGTTGCTTTCTATTCATACTACTGTATATGCACATGCATAAAGCTTTCTTTTTCTCCCTCCGTCACACACAATATAGTGATGAAGTAAATAAATTAATAAAGATAAAATAAGAGATAAGAAACATAAAGACAGTGATAGAGGATTCAAGGGATCAATTTAATTTTATTGCAAAGAACAACCTGCACAGAAATAAACATAAAAATGCCACAGAATGGAAACAAACATCAAAAAGAAGTTAATGTTCACAACCCAATAACTTGTGAGAGTCAGATGTGTGAACTGTAAGCTACAGATAGTCCCAGCAGCTTTTCGATGACAAGAGGTGTCCCTCCACAGATAACAGCAGCTCCACTGGAAGCCAGAGTTTTTCCATATGGAGATGCTGTTACAGCTGGTGAGACCCACAGAAACAGCACAGCTGACAGCACGTGCAACCCATGAGAACGTGCACGTGGTGGGATTCATTTCACCACAATATTGGTTGTACAGTTTTTATATAATATAACACACACACATATATATATATCTATATATATATATATATATATATATATATATAAGGAGTTCCTACCTATACCTGCTCTATATGAAAAGTGTCCTGAGACAACTTCTGTTATATACTGGTGGCTAAACAAATAAAAATTAATTGAATTTGGTAATATTTATAAGGTGTGATCGTAAAACATTTCTTCCCCTCATTTGATCAAAATGCACATTAAGCATGCTGCTCTGGCCCGTTAACATGTGTCATATATGAAACTTTTAAACAACCAGATCCCAAGACTGCTTTAAAGATAGGAATTTCATAATGCTGCATGTTTTAACTACCTGGCACCAGTGTGATAAAAGTTTCACACAGCTGAAATAATGCTGCCCTCTTTTGGTTGGGCCTCACTGACTACATTACATCATTATCTGAGCCCTCATGTGATAACACCACCCACACCTAATAAAGAGATATTTTACTGCGTCTAAGAAATATTTCACCTGTATTACACCAATAAAATCAGGGTCATTCACTCAATCAAAGTGTGCTAAGAGTCAGGAAGGAGTGCCATCTGAGCAAATGAATTTTAGCCTTTAGTTTATTAAAATTAATCTTTTACATGCAGGAATTGATATGACTTTAAACACAAGTAGTAAAGACAAGCGTGCATCATCATTTTCTTGTGTCCTCTCTCTAGATTTCCAGGATCTACTGGCTGAGCTTTGACCCTTAACCCCTCTTTCTCTAAAAAACAGAGCCATAAAGCAATTTAAGGGTATACTAAAAGGACCTTCACCCCTGTTGTCTCCTTCAACTTTGCCCACCAAGCTATAATTTCTTTGCCAGATAATTCCAATGTGAAAGTGCTATCAGTGCATTCAGAGAATCGGTGAATCTCAAATTAGGATGAGTGTGTTCATGAGCGCCTTAATATCAAGTCTGGACAGAGAATCTGGGCAGTACAGCGACAGGAAATCAAGTTTGAGAAGTATCATATTTTAAACTTTAGACTTGATGCAGAATTGATTCAATATTAGTAAACACTTTCATCCTTTTAGCAGGAGTCAAGTTAACTTTTTATGAACAGATTGTATTTCAGTCTTAAGATTCCTGTATACTGATGTACAATTATGATTGATTTTAGTCCCATTAACAGCTGTGCAAATTAATGTCTTGGTAAACACAATCATTCAACAACTTAATTTACAGAATCAAAGCATGTTTGTTGCCTGGCAACTGAGAGTCTCATCAGAAGCTTAATATAGGTTTCACTCAGTTCATGAATTTCCTCAAAAGCCATTTTAGGTCTCTCTTTATGGCCACATAATTCACCTCAATTGCTCAAAGGATGGTCTGTGATTGATTTTTTACTGATTAAAGAAAATGATTGCACTTCCAATGACTAATTGCTCAAGTTGCGTCTACAGTGGGTGCACAGTTAATATTTAATCAATATAAAAACACATTACATATTACTCTTGGTATAAAGGCAAACTGTAACTGCCCTGTATATGCCCCATAGTTTACAAATTAAATGTAAAGGGAACGTTTCGTTGATGACAATTCTTCAGTTCATTGGCCACGCTGAAATATGTATAAAAAGTTCATACTCACCAAGTAAATACTGGATATGAGGCTCATTTCATTCATTCATTCTGTAAGAAAAGTTAGAGAACTGGAAAACAGAAAAAACAGAAAAAAAAGGACCAAATGAAAGTGTGAAGAAAGTGGGTGAGCGTTGTGGGTGAGCGTTGAGAAGAGAAGTCAGACAGAAGTGAGGCAGCAGTCTGTCCGGAGTAATGGTGGACTTGTGAATGAGGGCTGCTTAAGACTCCGTGGGGGGAGAGAAAAGATTAATCATTACACTTACTGTAAATATGTAACAGACCCAATCTGCCCATAAAAGTCAGCAAATTGCATTGTGTTTGAACACCCACTGACACATGAGGATGGGATCATACGAGATGGAGAGCAGCCATTGGGAGAGACACCATCCAGCCTCTTCAGAAAGCCCCCTTACAGTTTCATTCAGCCTCTTCATTCAGAGCCATTGCTTCCGGCCTCTGCTGCCTCATTTTACAAAAACTACATAGAGATACTACATAGTGTGGGGCAGACGTAAGTTTAATTATTGATTTAATAACTAAATGGAGAGACAATAATCACAGCTGATACACCCAAGAAGCATAAATCAAAGAACATTTCCTTTTCTTTCTCTCTTTAGAGTAAAGACAGAACCTATTGAGCTTGTTTTATTTGTGTGTAATTTAGACTAAAGGTCCCTCAAAATCTGATATTACTATCAAAACTTTTATGACATCTACTCTTTTGACCCCACATCTATAAGCAAACAATAATAAATCTAAATCCTCATGAGGAAGAAACTGAAAGGGTTCCAGTTTGTTCTGATAATGTCTATAAAAGGTCTATAAAACCAAGAAACATTAGCAGACCAAATGCTTTTTCTTGTAAATGGCAGTGGAGGAAAGTTACTAAGTACGAGGCTAATATTGTACTTGATATAATTGATATTACTATTTTATTATTATTTTATATTGTAGATCTAGTGACCCGACAGGACATAAAGTCATTAAGATTAGCTCCATCTTAACTAGCTACATAATTTAAATGATGCTCAGAAATTGTTGCATCAATAATAATCCACTAATGTAATAATATATAACACTTAAACACCAAATTTTGAATGCAGGACTTCTCCTTCTAACAGTATTTTTACATTGTGGAACAAATTCTTCTGAAGACAAGGATCCCATTAATTCTTCCAACACTGGCAAATTACATTATTCTTAATATCTGTACAGCATTTCAGCAGAGAAGACAAGTTAGTTTTCACTAAGCATATCTGAATATTCAATCAAGTTTTATTAACATGTAATATGTGCCAAAAGTCCTGAGTATCAGCTGAACCCTGTAGTCCCTCTTAGTCTAATTTCAGTCTTTCTAGCAGAAAGGTGAGCTTACATTTGTAAAAAATATATTAAATATAAATGATAATATTGTTTTTTTAAATGGTGTCTGGTTGTCAACCCCCAAAGAAGCATGAGAAGAAGAAGCGCATGAGAGAAAAAAAAAAATCGCCTTTCTCATTCTGTTCTGATTGACCTACGTGGGCTGCCGTACTGTTGAAGCGGTGTTGACTGATGTGTGAGTAGCTAACTAACGTTGTCCTCACGAGTATATTAGCCGATATTAACCTCTGTTAGACATACAATAACACTCGTGTGTGCCTCTACGTGTGACATACAAACACACATCGATAGTGAAAGTGACGGAGAGCTTCCTGATTGATTTTAATCGAGATAACCAGCGAGGCTTCACTGCTAGTCCCCAAGCTAATTTAAACGTTAGCCACATGAATGCTAATTGTAGCTCTCAGCACAACGATGGTTGGGATATTATTCAGCCACAACTGGGGTTTTTATCAGGCTGCTAGTCAAGGAAGGGTTTAATATGTGTTCTCATAATGTTATTTTCTACTGTGATAATGTAACACATGACTGAGCTAAAGGATGAGCTGACTTTAGATATTAATTCAGGTTTTCCAGAGTAGGGTTGTTGTGATTTACCTTCTGTTAACAGTATATAACAGTAGTGTAACAGTATGTCAAAGTAAAGGTTGAGAAAATATCTGTTTCAGGTCAAAATGGCAGAGGTGACAACACTAGAGAGCCTGCTGGAGATGGGCTTTGAGAGAAACAGAGCGTGAGTGACACCAAATCCCCAAATTGATCCTGGTTAATGGAGTTCACGGGCCTCAGACTGCTTTTTAAAGAAGTGACGGTAACACTGTTTTACATTTTCTCATGTTTTCAGGGAGAAGGCGGTGGCCAACACAGGAAACCAGGGAATAGAACAAGCCATGGACTGGTGGGTCTGACACACACACACACACAGAAATAAACACGCCATTTATCGAACCGTCTGGGTTTACGTGGGTTTTACTCTGTCTTCTCGTAATCAACAAAGTGGGCCCGCAGCTCTCATCTTTTCCCTGTGATGTGCTTCCCCTCAGGTTAATGGAACACGAGAACGACCCAGACATCGACGAGCCCTATGTGCCTCCCGTGGGGAACGTCCTGGGAGGAGAAGCAGACAGCCAATCCACCACAGAACAGCCGACACTAGCAGACACCGCCGAAGGTCAGGGCCTGTTTGTGCTTTTTAGGGGCCGGAAGGGTTGTAATAGTGTGACTGAGGCATGTCAGACACAGAAAACATCAGAATCACTTAGTGATGTGCAGTATCATGATGTAAATGTGTCTACCATCAAATATCTTGTGAGAATATATATTAGGACATTGTGGATCATTTTTTTATTTGTATGATTTTTGCATTAATGTGTGTCTCCATTTGTCAGGTAGTTTACTTCACATGATTAGACAAAAGCAGATATTCTCATCTGGTAATTTTATCCAGAAAATGTACAACAGCAGGATAAACATTGATATAAACTAAATTGATGGAGGATTTTAACCTTGAGACCCGCTCTTATGTTCAATAGCGTGTTTTTACCGTCTATAAACAAGATATAGTAAATGAAGTGGCAGTCGCTGCTATGATTTTACATCAGTTTGTTCGTCTCTTTCGCTGTGTATATTGTTGTTTAGCCAGCCTGCAACTTCTTCTTTGATTTGTGATTGACAGCAAGATATTTAAATACCACACAATACACATCTCTTCCTTTTTCTTTCACTTTCTCATGTGTGTGTTTTTGTTTTGCTTCAGGGACAGCAGATGAAGACAGCAACTACATTGTCGACGGAGAGGGTGTAAAGAGGCCAATGACGGAGGAAGAGAAACTTGAGCAAGTTAGAAGGTCAGAGTTCACACAACATAGACACCATCCCTTCAGTGCTGTATGTGACCATTAGGTTGGAGAAAATAGCCAAACATAAGTTAGAAATACTTGATTTTCTGTTCATTCATGCTTCATACTGCTAATGAGATTGAACATCTTCAGTGTGTATGATGTCAGTCATCATCAGTCAGCTGATGCCTGTGTCGGTGTCTGTGTTTCAGGCTAGAGGAGCTGATGCGGGTGAAGCAGGCGGAGAGAAGAGAGCGAGAGCGGGAGGAAGAGCTGGAGAGGGAGAAGCAGCGGAGGAGACAGGGCCAAGAGCTGCAGCAGATCCGCCAAAAGCTGCAGGAGGATGATATGAAAAAACTTGCTGAACAGCGCAGAAAAGAGAAGATGGAAGACAAACTGGCAAGGTAAGGTATTCATTATAACACATTTAGTCAGATAAGGATGTTTAACTTTTTGTTTTTATGGGCCAACTTTTTATTTTTGGCCTGGGATGAGAAAGTTAAACGTCCAAAGATGTTTCCACTCTCCATACGTATTGTATTCCAAAGAGGCCAAAGGTAAGTTTTATATAAAAAAAAAAGGTAAATCAGCCTCATAGTAGTATGATAACCAAACTGAAAGGCAATTTTATTTCCACTTCATTATTCTGTATGAAGGGCAGCCATTTGATTGAATGACACTCTTATTCATCCATTAAATAAACAATGGGTGGAGATGAATCAGTGAAGGTTCAAGGGGGAATCCTGCGGCACTGTACAAGATAAGAAACTATTAAGACCAGATCTTCATGTTTCTCACTGCTTCTTTGTTCCCATCAGGCAAAGGGTTAAAGACAAGATAGCGCGGGACAGAGAGGAGAGAGCACAGAAGGTAACCCAATCTTCGGTCCTGTTACTTTTCCAATTTTAGTTTTTTCTTTTCACTTAATTTCTCTTCCGTTCGAACCAATTTTATTTCTTTTTTCCACCTTTTTAGTTTGGAGGCGGTGGACCACCGAGCACAGCCGCATCATCCCAGCCCGCCCAGCCCAGTCCCTCATCGCCCACCAGTCACGGCCCTCCACCCACTAAGAAGGAGTATGACGAGTCCAGGATACAGGTACAGGCCTCGATTATACTCATACGCCTACATGCTGCTCTCCACACCACCGAAGCACAGAGCACTCACCGGAGAGGAGTGTTTTGCATCCTTTGTTTTCTGTCACAAACAACAGCACAATGAATAGACCTCACTAGAACACATTGATGTGCCATCGCTGGTGTAATGGTGCACTTGTTTTTTTGCATCAAATGAAAATGGCATAAAAAAAATCTTGTTTCCCTCATCCGTTGCCCACTTGTTCTCTCCTCCTGCCTCACTTTGCTCTTCCACTTCTTTACCGTAAAGGTGCGTCTGCTGGACGGCTCGACCATCACAACAGTCTTCAAGGCCCAGGAGCCGCTGGCGGCAGTGCGCGTCTACGTACAGATGAACAGCAACACGCCCGAGGGTCAGGACTTCACGCTGCTTTCACCTTACCCCCGTCACGAATACACCGAACTGGACATGGAGAAGCCCCTCAAAGAACTGGGTGAGCACTGGGAACTTGAATATAGAGCACATTACTGTAATACACAACATATTATCAGTATATTTGTTTTACTTGGAGCTGCTGAACGGACGTTTCATTCTGTCTTCTTAGGTTTGGTGCCTTCAGCTGTGCTGGTTGTTGTCGTTACCAAAAAGTGAGATCAGGAGGACCTGCTCTTTGAGCCTACCTCACCTCCACTACATCGACACAAGAGACACCAGAAAGAGATAGATCCAGGAACACAACCGCCACCTTTTAAGTATCACTCAATAAGCCAGCTAACTGAACTAAAGCAGAGAAATGCAGCTCAAAGCTGTGTTCAGATTGTGTTTAACTACTTTTTAAGATGTTTTAGAGTAGTAACAATGAAAACTGGTTTGGTTAACTCACTGATTGATGCCTTTTGACATTCTGGGCAGATTTGTATTGATTGGTTTGTGTGCAGTGAGATGGACTGTGACTTTTACAAAGTGAGGATAGCTGGCTTTTGATGGATACTGCTTCTGTTTTCAACAACACATTTATAAAAACGACATAGTACAAAGTTGTTAAATTTTAACGTGATCCTCACATAGCAAAGTACCACACAAGACCTACTTGATTGGTTCTTAAAGGGCCTTAAATCGAATCCCTACGATCTTCCTGATTTTGTGACATTCTACTTTGCCATTTTTTTTTATAAGTTAAAATATATTGACGTTTACGTCTGCATAATCACCAAGAATCCACTTAAAATAAAGTTGACTGAGAATTATGATGGTGGACTGAAGTTTCTAAATATCATATGTGTGATCTTCCTTAAAATATTTTTTAATAATTCTGTATTTTTCTTTTCGTCAAAAAATGCCATGAAAAGAATAAATTGCCTGATATCTTATTCCTCTGAGCTACAGAGCTCCATTGTTGTTATAACATTTTAATATAAATGCAGCTATATTTGTGACCCATTTTTACAGGTTTATGTTCTCAGTAGAACCAAATGGGGTTAACAGTAGGTTATATGGAAACTACTGAGACCGATTCATGTATTGTTAGTCGTATTGTAGTAGTAGTATTGTTTGTAGTCTTTTCATGTGGTTTGTTGACAATAAGAAAACTAGAATAGTAGCCTTATCCTTTTAACACACGTAATCACCACATACGACTGAACATAAACCAAATGCACGTATAACGAGGTTGTGGAGGAAGGTCCTGGGTTCACTGGCCACTGCTCTCATTATTAGAACTGGTCAAACTCTGATTGGGACTGGAAGAGGGACTGATTGATTGACGTAACATTGAACTGACTTCTCCCAGTTACGTGACAAGGTTTTCATTTTATTAAACCATATAAAATGAATAGGCCAAAGATTAACGAGCATCTACAGACAAGAAGAACTGGTTTAGGTTTGCCAAGTGGAACTTGACATACAAAATAATAAGTGAGATGTTAACAGGCCTTTTTCACAGGAGACGTTTCGACCTGTAGGCAGTAGGAAAAGCACAGGTGTAAATAATGAAATGAATGGTGACTGCTTCAGATCCTGGTATTTTGCAGGCTGGCTTACTGGGACATTTGTATAGTCTGCTGTTAAAAAGGCCTATACACCTCATTCACAGCATCCATTTTGACATGAAATTGGGTAAACACAGGTGATAAATAATAATAAAAAAAGGTTCAGTTCCAGTCAGGTCAAACATTAAGGGAGCTGTTATTGTACATGTTGGCTCACTGGAAAGACTGGTACACTAAATTGAAGAGAGATATAGCATCACTGGTAACACCAGTAATTACCCTCTTTCATGTCAAAATGGCTGCTGTGAAAAAGGCATATTGATTTATTCAGTCAGCGGGTTTCAAAGGCTCCAGGCTTTACCTTAATAGTCCAATTATCAAACTAAAAGCAGGAAGGAGAAGATTCTACTAATGTCCTTTATAGTAAATCTCTTGGACTCGCCAAACCTGGAGCAGAAAGTCCATTTAATTCACTCGCCTGTTCCTTCCTTTGGCTTCCTCATTAGTTTGATAATCATAAGATTACAGCCTGTGAAATCTGCTGGCTATCTGACTGTCAAACTTTGTTGATTTTGTGCTAAGACTTCCCAACTTTTCTTTAAAGTGCTGCTGTAGATATGAACAGGACACAAACTGTTGCTTTTCCTCCAACACTAAGAGGTTTTTAGTCACAATTAATGAGTGTGACGGTTGATTTTTCACCCTCATTAAGGAAGTATGAGCAAGCAGACACGTGACACAAAACAGTTCTGTTGTGACACACTATAAAACACCTTTATATACATTAGAAAAAACAACAAATAGCCTACTCTGGAATGGTACAAAATGTCAATCATACATTAGCTTGTCAAGTCTGATAAACCAGATGACTTTTAAAACAGGAGCAAAGGGGGTCGGCTTGCAAACAAATACAAAAATATTTCTGATTAAAATGAGACACTGATGCACTGAGAATGGGTGTCACTGTTCCCTTTCATCCTCTTTCCACCTGTCCCTCAGAATCAACACTGAAATTACTACGACGTGTTAAAACAGCTCGACTCCGGCCCCGTGTTTAAACAAATCGAGGACAGTGAGGTAACCCAGAGGAGGGACGGAGAGGAAGGGATGCTGGGCTGCTGTTTTAGCAGGTGGACCGGCAGGACTGGGTGGTTCAGTTTGTTGTTCAGCTAAGAAGTCCTTTGAGGTCAAACTGCTTCCTTTTTGGTGTCACAGTCAATGTCCCCCGGTCTAGCTGGGAGGATAGTAGCCCTGGCCGTAGTTCCAGGTGTTCTGGTAGCCGTAGCTGCCGTACTGCGGTTGCTGGAAAAGAATCACAACAAACAGGTAATAATGTTCACAGAATATCTTCAATTGTAGTTTG